TTACCTTACTCCATATTAGACCCGATTTACCTAGCTACACTAACTACCTATCCTCCAATCTGGCTTCAGTAGCACTTGYTCTGGGGGAAGGCAGCTGCCACGGTGTGAGGACACAAAGCGGCCCCCTGGAGAGGGTGGCKTGGCAGGCAACTGAGGCCTCTTGCCAACAGAGCACCCCTGGCTTAACTTCTCAGTACCACAAAAATAAATTTWAAAAATAAGCTTTCTGACACCAGTGGTCAGGAATCCTGCCTTTCCCATCCCTCTCTGCTGAAAAATCCCATCACATTCTTGTGAAATCAACATGCAGGGACTGTGACATGCCAGGCAACACCACGCTGGGCCTCTGGCAGTGGGCAAGGCCAAGCTCACGTCCACAGAAGAGTTCATGGTTCAAACAAGAAGGCAGAGGAGTCAGGAGGGGGATACTGAGTGCTGCTGTAGGATCGCAAGAGACAATCTCAAGGGGAAATGGGAACCCTGGACGGGGCTCCTTGTCCAGCATGGGGGCACCAYGAGGGCTTCCTGATGATACTCTCAGGAGTAGTTTGCCATGGGAGGGAGGAGGAGAGAGGGAGGGAGTGTCAATCAGAGGAAGCAGCATGTGCAAGGGGCTGAGGGGGTGGCACCTTCCAGGAGCTGCTGTGCGCTGCCTAAGCTGGCTGTACAGTCCCTGTTCCCAGGACCCAGGGAGAGAGGGAGAAGCAGGAGGCGGGGCAAGGCCAGTAGGCCCCAGATCTGAAGAGTGGGAATCAAAAATGGAAGAGAAGATGTTAGGATGAGATTTGCATTTTATAAAGATGATTCCAACTGCAAGGTGGTCCGTCAGGGCAAATGAGGGTAGAGAAACATTGGGTCCCTGCAGAGACCCAGGAAAGGAGCCAGGAAGAGTTGTCCTTGGAGTGGAAGCGGGAACCTGTTATGGTTTGCATCTGCAGCGTCCCCCCAAAGCTCCTGGGTTCGTGTGGGAATATTTGGAGGTGAGATGACTGGATTGCGAGAACTGTAACCTAAGCCGTACATCCTGGTCTGAAGGGACTGACTGGGTGGTAACCATAGGCAGATGGGGAGGGGCTGGGGCACTGAGAGGGGGCGCTARAAGGGTTCCCCTTCCCGACCCCTTTCCTCTCTACGCTCCTGGCTGCCGTGAATGGAGCAGCACATCATCCTGCCCTTGTGCCATGATCTGGCTCTCCGTGGGCCCAGAACAGTGGAATTGACCACAGAACCTCTGAAGCCATGAGCCAAAATATACTTTTCCTCCTTTAAGTTGTTTCTGTTAGTTATTTCAGTCATAGCTACTAACAGAACATAGGTGGGAGCAACTTCGGCAGGATGTCATGACCAGATGGGAACAAAGGCAGTGTACGTCTGGTTTTTGTGGTTATCTGACCCAATATATGTCCTAAATCCTTTTATGTTACTTTTTTTTTTTTTTGTACCAGAAATTGAACCCAGGGGTGCTTAACCGTTGAGCCACATCCCCAGACCTATCTATCTATTTATTTTTATTTTGAGACAGGGTCTAAGTTGCTTAGGGTCTCACTAAGTTGCTGAGGCTGGTYTTGAACTAGAGGTCCTCCTGCCTCAGCCTCCCCAGTTGCCGGGATTACAGGTGTACATTGCCACACCCAGCCATATTCCCAGCCCCTTTCATTTTTTATTTTAAAACAGGGTCATGCTAAATTGCCCAGACTGGCTTTGAATTTGTAATCCTCCTGTCTCCACCCTAGAATTTTCTGGGATTACCGGCTTGTACCACCAAATCCCACTCTCTCCCTTGGGTAAATTTGAAGGAGCACAGTAGCTGGATCACATGTTAAGGACCTCTCTAATCTTTTTGGGCCCTCCCCTCTGATGAAGAGATTTGGAATGTGACCCTAGGTAGAAAAACAATGTTTGAGAATGGTAGGTTATGGGTTGGTGCAGAAATAGACTGATCCTCTGGGAGAGCAAAGGGTGTTCCCTTAAGGCCTGGGTCCTTGCACACGTGGCCTGAGCATCCTGATATCATACCTGGGAGAGGCACTGACCTCATCAGCATTTCAAGGGGTCTAGAAGCTAAAGGATTAAGCTAGAGATATGACCAGTGGCTGGAAGCTCGCTCGCGGGTGTGAAGGAGGTGCAGGGGAGAGCAGCCGACAACCCTCGTACCCCGAACCTCCAGTGAAAACCCTCCCTCCAGTTCCCGTTCCTAACTATGCTACAGGAAATCCCTGTCAACAGAAGCCCAGGGCTGGACTTGGCCCCCATAGAACACATGCTTCTTCCTCCTAAAGTCACAGAAGACTCGGGTACATTGCTGTGATGGCCAAGTTCATTTGCACAGTTTATTTAAAAAGAAAGAGCTTTAAGGTAGAAATGCAGATGGTTTCTTTACCCTAAAGAGAGAAGTTGCAAAAGAGAAGTAATAAATATGACAATAAGAAATATTTTTTTAAAAAATACAACAAGACCCTGGTCCGAGTGAGCAATCCCAAGAACTCACAAATATAAAAATCTATCATAGGGGTAAGAACAGATTTACCTCAATACCTTGAAGCAGATGTTGGAAATTGGCTCRATGGAGAGGATGGCCATGACTTTGGGGATTTCAAAAGGCACTGGTTGTGTCCCTGGCCTCGTGGGAACCTGAGGGGTCCACTGTAATATGATCTGCAGAGTTAGAGTGGACCTGGAACCCCTCTACTCAGTAGCAGTACTTCTAGTGACTCCTTCCTTCTCACAGGTGAGTAGCAGGCACTTAGGTGTGGAAGACAGAACCGCCCAAGGAGGGAGACACGGAGCAGGGGAGTGAAGAGGGAGGGCCAGGGGGGTGCTGCAGGCCAGTCCCCTCCTGCTGCAGCTCCCCATGCTGGAGAGCAGGTGGGCAGTGGTCCACCTGGCCTCCTTGGATCTTGCCACCTCTACAGAAGACCACACAAAAGCAACTGGCAGAATCTGACCAAGAAAGACAACAGAAATGGGAGGAGAGAAGGATTTCCCAAGAAAATGGCRAGCTAACATGTCCTCTGAGGACCACAAAAGAAAGAATTTCTATACAAATGAGCACAACAGGCTACTCACTGGCGTGGAGCAAGGGAAGGGGAAGGCTGAACCTGGCTTCAGGGGAGGGCAGAGAGGTGAGCAAGGGGGACTTGGCCATCCCATGACCCTCTTGCAGGGGCAGAACAGTGGCGGGGCGGYAGCCCCTTGCCACCCAAGTGAGGCYGAGGAGAGGCCTGGGGCCAGGGAGGAGGCTGGAGGGGCCTGCAGGGGTAAAGACGCTGGGCCATCCCTCCTGGCACCGTGGAGGCACCGCTGTGGGCGGAGGTCAGGGTCTGCTGGACTATGCGCTGAAAGCAGCCTTGAGTTCCCGGAAGGCTGCCTGGCGGAGCCTTCTCTTCTCCTCCTCCCGCTTCCGCTCATCTTGCTCAGCTTTTAATTCGGATTCAAACTTGCTGGCAGAGGACAAGGCCTGGGCCTGCAGAGAAACGGCACACAGGGACAGTTAGGTGTGGGGAGGGACCGGTGCGCCCAGCCAGCAGCTGCAGGGCGTGGAGGGCAGGAGCCCGGGGGACASGCCTGCCTGTGGTCCTCAGGAGTCCCCTGCTGTGGCGCACATGCTGCTGGCTGTTATGGCTGGATCTGAAATGTCCCCCAGAGACTTGTGTGTTGAAGGCTTCTTCCCCGGGACAGCAATGCTCAGAGGTGACTGGACATGAGGGCTGGTTCCCGGGACTCATAGCTGAATGGATTATTGGGAGGTGGTGGGACTGCAGCGGGTGAACCTAGTTGGAGGACATGGGTCCTTGGGTGCACGCCGTGGGGGACCACACCTTGTCCTTGGCCCTGTCTTTCTCTCTTCCTGGCTGCCATTGCCAACAGTTGTGCTCCACCACACACCCCGCCACGGGGCTCTGGCTCACCACAGGCCCAAGCCATGCAGCCTGCAACCCTGAGCCAGAACCGACGGCTCCTCCTCTAAGTTGACTTCTATCCACTCAGGTTGCTCTCTTCTTTTTCAGGATACTGATTAACATCCCTGCTAGCTATTCACTCTGTGTGTGTGTGTGTTGCTGCTGGGAACCTTGGACATGTTCCACAGGCATTCTACCCCTCAGCCACACCCCCAGCCCTTACCCACACCCTCAGCCCTTACCCACTTTTACATTCCTTGAATTTCACAATAATATTGTAACCTTCTAGGGGAAAAGGCAGAAGCAAAGGCCCCCTTGCTGGGTTCTGGTTGGTACTTCGTCCATCTATTGTGGCGAAGGGAAGCCTTTACCATACAGATTCCTCCAAAGACTTCAGTTTTTATTGTTGCCATTGCAGTCTGAGTTTTCTCTAAATCAATCATTCTAAATTTACTTACAAATATTAACATGTTTTTGTCAGGGCTGGGAGTAGAATGTGGCACCATTTGGGTTTTGTTTTGTTTTTTTTTAAGGTTGTTTGGTGAAACTACACATACACATTATTATTATTTTTAAGGTGGACACAATCTCTTTATTTCATTTTTATGTGGTGCTGAGGATCGAACCCAGTGCCTCATGCCTGCCAGGAGAGCGTGCTACCACTTGAGCCACATCCCTAGCCCCCTATTTGGGTTTTTTAAACCTAACAATTTGTCTTCAAAACCATATCAGATAAATCCATCTAAAAATCCTTTATCCTAGAACTGATTACCCGCCACCGTGTCTCATCCATTTGGTAAAATTTCTTAACAACACATTGGGTGTGGACATTATTTTAATAAAGACTATTAAACTACTCTCAAAAGTAGCTATTCCTACTCACACCCCACCATCACGGACCAGAGGTGCTCATTTCCCCACGACTTTGCCAAGATTATTATTAACATTCTTCCCTCTTGCCAATCTGATAGGCCAAAAAAAAAAAAAAAAAAAAAAAAAAAAAAAAACACCTTTTATTTCCTCTTTTGTGTGTCTTAAAGTTTAAGGTGTCTTGACCACAGAAATATGTAAGATACATAATTTTATTCATTTATTTATTGGCAGTACTGGGGATGGAACCGGGGGGTGCTCTATCACTGAGCTACATCCCCAGCCCTTTTTATTTTGACACAAGATCTCCCTAAGTTGCACAGGCTGGCCACAAACTTGTGATTCCCCCACCTGTTGTTAGGAGTACAGGTGTGTACAGGTGTGCACCAATGTGCCCAGCTTTTTTTTTTTTTTTTTTTTTTAAAGAGGCCTCACAAAAGTAGTGCCTGGGTCCACTGGGACATCAGCTCTCCTATTCAGGCTGGGTCACCAGTAGGCTCAGCCCTCCTCCCTCATCTCTTTCCCCTTAGCAGTCACCCCCTTTCCCACTCTTTTTATTCTCCTTTCGCCTCCCCCTGTGCTTAGGACRGACGGGAAGGCCAGACCCTGGGCTGTTCCCTTAATGTCCCTGAGTCCAGGGGCCCACTCWGGAGCTGGCTGTACCTGCTCAAACACCAATGGTGTTTCAATTCTCRTAAATTTTGTGAGTTGGGTATTAAATACAGCTATTATAAAAATTAAATTATATGAGACTATAATCATACTAAAAGCTAAAGTTTTGTATATATATATATCTTTTGGTATTGAGAATTGAGCCCAGAAAAGTTGCCATGTCCTGCTTACATTTTTACATTTTACTATTATCTATGCCTTTAGTTACCTATTTCTTCTATACCTCTGTGATGTTGTTTTGTTTTGTTTTTGTTTCAGTGCTGGGGATCAAACCCACAGCCTCGCACCTGCTAGGCAAGCCCTCCACCACTGAGCTACATCCCTAGCCCGGTACCCATAGGATGGAAATACTGATGGTGATGTATCATTGTTACCGTGAATCTCCCTTGAAAGCAACTGCAGTGTGAGTGTTGACACCATAGAGAGCCACTGAAGCTACATCTTTGGGCTTGGCTTATTGTTTCGTTGACTGTCTATACAATCTTGTTTTAAAGCAATGGAAAATCAGGTTTAAAGTGCCCATGAAGGGCTGGGGATGTGGCTCAAGCGGTAGCGCGCTCGCCTGGCATGCGTGCGGCCCGGGTTTGATCCTCAGCACCACATACMAACAAAGATGTTGTGTCCGCCATAACTAAAAAATAATAAATATTTTAAAAAATGAATAAATAAATAAAGTGCCCATGAAACTTGGAAGTTTGTGGAGTCTGTTGCCTTTACATGACAAACAGTTCTGAAAATTTGAGAGAATATTCTTCTAATATTCCATTCATTAAGGAATGAAGCTTCAAAATATATCCTTTTATTTGTTTTCTTACAAATTAACTTAAAATATCAACCAACATTCATATTGGAACTATATTCTCTTGTGCATTGCAACCACAAAATAGCTATAAATACAAGAGTCCAGCAAAAATCAAGGACTGCATTCTCTGAGAATTAATAGGCTGTGCCCAACTGACAATAAAAGCAGTGTGTATCCATTGTTTGTGAATTTTGTGCTGTATATTGTTTATAAAATTAATAACACACTTACACGCATGTATAAGTGCATATTGTGTGTGGAGGGTCAGCTACTAGGCATTTACTGACAAACCACTAAGCTTCAGCTCCCTCTGCAAAATGGGACCAAACACGTACCTCTAAAGTTTTTGTTCAGCATCAGACAAAACACAAATCTCAAGCACTTGGCAGAGGGTGTGACCCAGCACCAACTCCCCTGCGCTTGTTAGTCACCCAACCTCCCCACCCTTCCTGGCCAGGTTAGAGGAGGGAAATTCTTGCCATCTCTTCACTTGAGGTATTTCTTCTGTCCACTATAAAAGTCCACCTGTTCTCTGGATCCTATACCCCCTAAGTCCTTGTTTTATCCAGCAATCCCCCCTTTTTTCCCTTCTTTCTATTTTGGTACCAGGGATTGAACACAGGGGTGCTTGACCACTGAGCCACGTCTCCAGCCCTTTTTATGTTTTATTTTGAGACAGGACCTCGCTAAATTGCTGAGGCGGCCTTGAACTTGAGATCCTCCTGCCTCAGCCTCCCAAGCTGYCGGGATGACAGGCGTGCACCACCATGCCTGGCTACCCCATTTTGTTCTTGTCTTCTGTGTCTTTGTCTTCCCAACTGCTTCTCTTTAACCTGAACATTCTGACATCTTCCCCAGGCTATGAAATAAACCAAAAAGTTCTTCCCTGAACCCAAGCTACTCTCCCCACCTGGGTCCAGACCTTTCCTTGACAAGATGCCCAACTAGCAGGGCTCTCCCTCCAGTTCCCGTTCACTCTTCATCCTACTGTGATCTGGACCTCGTGTGAACCTGGGCCCTCAAAAATCTCTTCTGACCCATTTGCGGGGCCCAAGACCTCTGATTTAATCTGTGTTTCTTTGTTGTTTCCTGTTTGTTTTTTCGGCACTGGGAATGAAACCTAGGCAAGCACTCTAYCCCTGAGCCACACCCCAGCACTAATCTGAACACAGCTCGCTTCCTCCAAATAAGTGCTTCTTTAGGGTTTCCTTGGACCTCTGATGACGCACTCATTCTTCTTCCCTGTRGGGAAGTGCCAGCCTCCCCCACAGTCCCGTCCATCATGATTGACCATTGGTCAATCTCCTTGAATTCTTGGTTTCACCTTTTTACTTGTGAAGAGATGGTTCCCACAGTCTGTGACACTGAATGCCTACAAAGTATCCATTTCTTCCCTTCTTTCTTCCTGTGAGAAACTCTCCTGCATGTGGAGAGTGACCCCGCTGCTCCTGACTCCAGGAGGGACCCACGGGGCAATGACATTCTAGCCCTTGCCAATGGTGGGGTCAGGAAGGGACACGTATGGGAGAATTACTGCACAACCCTCGATGTCCAGTACCCCCATCCTCCTGGTAGCATACTTACAAGTGGGCACATGGTTCCCAGGGAAAAAAGACTTACTTGGAGCCGTCTATGCAGCCAGTTTCTGTCTAACAAGATGTGATCAAAAGCCATTTGCACCAATGTGACACCCATCAAATAGAGGCATGCCTGAAGTCACTTCAGACCTGACACCCAAATCATTTTATAACTTTCTGTCCTCAAACACTCCCATGGCGGGAGGCAATCTTGAATTAAAATCTCAGTCCCTTTCCCCACAGCTCTCACACCATGGCCCACAACTTCTCGGCCCCCACTGGGTGGACATGAACACAGAGAGTTCTAGAGTTCTGGGTTCAGGTTACCCGCTCCCTGCCTCAGGCCACGGCCCTCCTTGGACCTACATTCTTCTCCAGACATCTGTGGAATCTCTTCCCAGGCAAGTCCACCCTTGTATTGCCACCCCTGGGAGCATCAAGGACCTGCTTCAACACCCCCGGGGTCTCTGGGGCCTRCAGCTGTGCAGTCCACTCCTGGCCGTGCCTGTGCCTGCACAGCTGATCAATGACACATTTCCTGGGCCTGGGAAGCTCGTCCACAGGTGGTCCTGATGCTCAGAGGTTGGGGAAAGGCCTTCCCAGCAGGTGTCCCTCAGCCTGGGGCAGGTCAGAGCTCCCTGAGTGTGTCCCTTGCCCCCAGGGGCCATCAGCCTCAGTCATCTACCACATATGCCACAGTCGGCCAAAGGGTGGGAAGTGCTGGCCCCGTTCTTTCATCTCGGCTTCCACTCCAGACACATCACCAGCCCTGCTCCCTCACGCATCCCATGTCCTCGCCACTCTGGGACACCTCTCCACGACGCTCCCTGCCTCCGTGCCTTGGAACCCTCATGTTTGCTGTTCCCACGACCAGAACGCCTTCCCTTCCTTGATTACAAGGTGAATCCCCATTCATCTCAGAACATCTGTCACCGGTGTCAGCTCCTAAATGGCCTCTCCCAAATTCAAGCCGTGATGCCCTCCATTCGTCATTCAAGCCAACATTTATTGAGAGCTATTACGCACCAGGCACTGTAATTACAAAGATAACACGCCCACGCTGCCTTTGAGTCTGGCTGAGGAGGCAGACTTAGAAGCATAACGAGTGGAAAAAATTTATTGTTATGCTTTTCATCTTTTCTCCTGCTTATAAAAATAATATGCACTCATTATAAAACATTACAGAAATATAAAAAAAAGTCCCTCTGACATAACCATGACTAATAGTTTTGCATGTAATTTTCCAGGTTGTATTTAATATTTCACAAAATCATGGATGGCATACATTGCTTTGCTTAATTTATTTTGGACATCTGTCCACATAGAGACGCTGTCACATCTCATTCTTTCATGACGGTGCAAGCACGTGGCAGCACCACAATGGACTCTTTCTGTGATAACAGAAATTTTGGTTGTTTCCTATTTTCCTCTGTCATCCACTATGCCAAGCATAAATTCTTGTCCAGACATTCTATGTGCATTTGCATGAATGCTCACAGATAAAACCCCAGAGGTAGAAGGTTAATGGCGAGTCCCAAGCTGCCCTACAGAAAGATCAGTTGGTCCTCACTGCGGCTGCCCATGAGCGGCCGGAACAGCTCCATGTGCACTAGAGGCCCACAGGGCGGGGTGGACTTGCCTGCCCTGGAGGGTCAGGAAGAGCAGCCTGGAGGGGCCAAGCCTGAGGGCAGTTCTGGAAGGAGCAGAGTTTGCTAGGCAGAGATGTTAGGGTGGGGCTCCAGACAGAGGGACAGTGAGGTCCAGGTGTGAAAAGGGCCTGGCAGCACTTGAAGCAGGTGGAAGGGGCTGGAGCGGGGATGGGAGCTGGGTTGTAACAGGTCCTGAGTGCCCCTTAAGACGCTCCCAGGGACTCACACACACTTTACCTACAGCCCTGAGCACATGCACCATCCTGGTGTCTCAACCCCAGGACTGTGCCCAAGGCGTCAGAAGAGCTCTGCACATGTGCCTCCATTACGAAGGACCCAAGCCAGCAGAACGGACCCTCCCTCCTCTGCACTCGCTCAGTCAGGGGGAGTCTGCTTCCCTCACTGGACTGTGCGTGCCCCCTGGGGAGGACAAACTCTTTGAAGGAGCTGTATCTTAGAGCTTAAAGCAGGGCCTGGCTTTGCTGGGGATGGGCCAGTGAATCAAAGGGAAGGCAGGAAGGAAGGGTCAATCCACTTAAGACTGGACACACGATTCTGGTCTTCAAGGCACATGGAGCGGTTGGCCTGTCCCTGACCCTGTCCAGTGAAAGCACTAGAAATTCAGCTTGTGGGGTGGCAGAAAGACGACAGAATCCATCTCTAAGCAGTGACATGGAGAAGGGAAAATATATGGGGAGCAGTGACATAAGACTTCACCTAGCAAATTGGGAGGCTGAGACAGAAGGATCGCAAGTTTGAGCTCAGCCTGGGCAACTTAGCGAGACTATTTCTCAAAAATAAATTTTAAACAGAGATGAGGATGTAGCTCAGTGATAGAACTTTTGCCTTGCATGTGCAAAGACTAAGTTATCTCTCAGCACTGAATAATAATAATAATAATAATAACAACAACAACAACAATGAGAACAGAGCCCTGCTAAAGGGTCTAAGCAGACTAGGATATGTGACCAAGGACACTTTGTCCCTAGATAAGATCCCAGAAGCTATTTCCTGCCTGGAGTGACAGGGATTCCCCACAGCTCAGATCACCCAGGGAGTTCTCAGTGAGCCCACTTGCCCAGCACTTCATGAGTGAGCTCATCTAATCCTCAGGAATGCTCTCGTCAGCCTCTGCCCCATTGTACAGATAAAGAAACCGAGGCACGGAGAGGCAACCAGTAGAGGAGGCAGGATCTGCACCTGGGCAGCACGGCTGCGGAGCTGCATCCTTTCCCTGGCACCCCGGGTCTGCTCAGCCCGGGATGTGCAGGACTCTCCCGTCTGTTTCTGCAGGAGTGCTCTGCAGAGATGAAGGTAAGAGGGCAGAGGCCAGCCTCGCGTGGAGAGGCACATCAATGCCCAGGGACTGCGTGAACTTGTGAATGGAAGGAAGCACCCGGAAGGGCTGCGGGGCCAGCCCTGGACATTCCTCCCCAAGTCTGGACCACTGTGATGCGCAAAAACCCGTTCAAGACAAGCCACCCTGTGCACGCCCGCACCCCACCACCCACCCATGTGTTCAGCACCAACTCATCCAGGGCTGGGTGGAGCTCTTTGCCGGGTGTCTATGGAGCGCTGACCCGGAGCGCCGCACCAGCGGGTCTGTTGAACCTGACCGGGACCCAGCGTATTTACTCTTTGGTTGTTCTCTGTTTTGTGTTGACTTTTCAATGGCACAAGGACACRCTGTTATTTCCCTGAGCGAAGCACTGGACAAGGGCGCGCCTGTCCCTCAGAGAGGGTAAMGGAGGGAGCGCTGGCTCCACGGAGAAGAACAGGAACGTACCTTGGCTTCAAAGAAGTCCTTGGCACCCCTGACGCCCTCCAGGGCCACGTCGATCTCGGAGAGCTTGGCCAGCGCCAGCAGCCCGCTGTCTTCCTGCAGCTCTCCCGCCGCGGCCTTGTGGAAAATGAGCAGGAACTGCAGGAGGAGACAGAAGGACAGGAGCCGCTGTGCCTCGGCCTCCCTGAGACCCAGAGAACCCCTGGGGCCCCAGCCGAGGCCATTCTTGCCAACACTGGAAAAGGGCGTTTWTGTGGTGTGTGATGAGTTGGTTTGTTCCTTATCAGATGGCCAAAGAAAAGACAGGGCCCTGGGGTGAAGCTCAGGGGTAAAGGGCGTGCCCAGCATGTGCTAGGGCCTGGGCTCCGTGGCCAGCACCCAAAACTATATGCCAAAAATAAAATGCTGGGGGCTGGAGCACAGCCCAGGGGTAGAGCACATGCTCAGCATGAACAAGGATCTGGGTTCCATCCCCAACACAAAATCACACACACAAAATAATCAAATAAAATGCTGTTCATTTGCCCAACCACCAGTGTCATGGCTGGGAATTTATCCCYCAGAAACTCACAAAATAGTGTTAGCATTATCGATACAATTGGCAACATCCTAGCTTATAGCTACAAAAGGAAAATCAAATAGATCTATATATATTATTTTGAAACAAAATAATATTTTTGATATATCTTAACTACTTTTTTTTAAGTATTTTAAAAAAATGTTTATTTTGTTTTTCAGTTGTAGTTGCACACAGTACCTTTGTTTATATGTGGTGCTGAGGATCGAACCCAGGGCCTCGCACATGCTAGGYGAGCGCTCTACCACTGAGCCACAACCCCAGCCCATTAACTACTTCTGTTTTACTTGTGTGTTCCACTTTTTCTTTTCTTTCTTTCTTTTTTTTTTTTTTTTTGGTTCTGGGGATTGAACTCAGGCTTGCTTAACCGGTGAACCACATCCCCAGCCCTTTTTATGTTATTTTTTTATTTTGAGACAGGGTCTCACTAAGTTGCTTAAGGCCTCACTAAATTGCTGAGGCTGGCCTCGAACTTGTGATCCTCCTGCCTCACCTTCCTGAGTTGCTGGGATCACAGGCATGGGCCACCATGCCCAGCGTGTATTCTACATTTCCATCAGATTGCTTATCTCTCTGTTGGCTAAGAGATCTTCACAAGACCTGCTAAAACTTTAGCTCTGTCACTTGCCCTTTAACTGTGCGTACAGTGAGTTTTGACTTTTAGAAGTTTTAAATAAACTCTTTCAAATCTTTTTCTTTCTCTCACCAGAGTTATGTTCAGAAAAGCCTTTCTTGCCACCAAGGTTACGTGAACAATCACCTATGTTTTTGTCCACTACTTTTATGGCTTCTTAAAAAAAAAAGTGTAAATAATTAATCTCTGAAATGTCTTCCATCTATCCTGTGAGGGTAATTATTAACCTTATTTTCTTCCAAATGGTTACTTAGTAATCCCCACATCATTTATTGAATAATCCTTCTACTTCCTCCAGATTCAAAACGTGACCTGAAAGAATTAATCTTTGAATGCAACTTGTCCTAAGGCCTCAACAAAATAATTCATTAAATAAATAAATTGACCAAACATCAATGGCAGGCCTCCCACTTTCCTATTCTCTCCTGAGGTGATTCTGTAGATTGAACGCAGAGGCGCTTAACCATTAGCCACATCCCCACCTCCCCTTTTTTTCCATATATTTTATTTAGATATAGGGTCTGGCTAAGTTGCTAAAAGCCCCACTAAGTTGCTGAGGCTGGCTTTGAACTTTCAGTCCTCCTGCCTCAGCCTCCTGAGCCACTGGGATTACAGGTGTGCACGACCATGCCTGACTTTTGATTCTTTTTAAATAATTTTTATAAATCTACCTGTCAAACAACTACCATGCAATGTCTACTATTTACTTTCCATTTGGGTATAAACTGATAGACTCCATATCATCAAAAGAGGATTTCCCCAGGTTTTCAGATGAGACCTAAAACATAGGTGTCTACAAGGAAATTTCAGGTTTCCATGTCTTTCTTCACACCTTTTTCCTGTGTCAAAGGACATCACTGAAGCAGTGACAAATCCAGTAAGTGGGACAGGCTTTCCAAAGCCCAGCTTGGCTCTACCCCAAGGCTCTTGCTCGAGGGGGAGGTGAGCTCCACTGAGTGGTTCTCACCCACCCTCACAGCCCCAAACGCCTCACTCACAAACCTCTGATCTGGGTGCAGTGACACACACCTGTCACCCGGCGACTCGGGAGGCTGAGGCCACATACTGAGACCCCCTCTGAAAATAAAACAAACCTTCTCAGGTTCCTCATTCCAGGGCCCTCAGTCCACTGTGGACCCCCCCCCCCCCCCCCCCCCCCCCCCCCCCCSCCCCCCCCCCCCCCCCCGCCCAGTACTAATCCATGCCCAGGGACTTGGAGCTTCGCTGAGGCATGAGCAGGAGCTTGGATGGACTGAAAGGCCACGTCCATCCACCTGCAGCTTCTAACCCTCTCACTAGAGGACGGCAAAGACTCAGTCTGCTGCAGAGGATCGGGCCAGAACACGGCCCAAAGAAAACAAGCCTGTTCAAGGAGGCCAGGCCCCCAGGAATAGGATCAAGGCCAAAAGGGCGGGGACAGCAATGACCAAGTTCTCTCCGGGAAGAGATTGAAGCAAAAAAGACTTCAGTGTTTGCCAACGTGAGCTGTGGGCAGGAGTAAAATGCCAGCCCTTCTGTACCCTGCAGCCATAGTCTGTCCCCACTAACACCCACTAGAACAGTGTTGAGAGGCAGTGGGCCTTTAAGAGGTGATTAGGTCACCAAGCAGGATGAAGGCCTTTCTGCTGGGACTGGGCGGGAATAGAGTGGGTTTGGCTTCCTCTGCTCTCTTACTTTCTCTCTCACCATGCCATTTCTTGTCCACTCATGGCCTGGCCTTGTGATTTCCACCATGAATTTCAGTGGCACCCAAAGTTGGCAGATGCCAGCAGTATGCTCCTGGACTTCTAGATCTGTAGGTCAAAATAAACCTTTTTTCTTTCTAGATTACCAGTCTCAGGTATTTTGTTATAGCGTCAGAAATTTGACTAAAATTATGACCTAAGTCATTTTGTTTACAGAACCCTCTCCCCTGTAGCTCCACAAGCAGATAGCTCTCCATATCAGCTATTCTTATTGGCCCCATGAAGTAGCTCAGAAAAGAGGGAGCAGTGCCCTGAGCTCAGCACCAATCCAAGTGACCTCAGGGTTTCCTTCTGTCCCCAAGACTCAGTTTTCTCACATCTGAAGAACAGGCAACAGAATCTGTGTTCTCTGGAGGGCTCTGTGAACTGGAAACATTAAAGAATTCCTCACGGCTCTTTTCCCTAAAGCTATTTCCTCTGAGCCTCAGGTCTGGGGTGGATCCAGCTCGTGGGCCCTGGCTGTGCCATCTCAGCAGGTTACCCACAGTGGCCCATCATACTCCAGGGTCTCCTGACCCCAAATAAGAAAAAAAAAAAAAAATCCAGTCCAACCTGAAAAGGGCAGCCTTCCATGAAGCACGCCCGACGTTCCCATTTGACTTCATCACCGTCACTCACTGCCCCTGAATGACCATCTCTCCAACCGCCCAGCCTCGTTTGTCTCCCTATTTATAGTCCACAGAGACTGGCATGGTGTACAAGAATTGGAAAACGTCCTGACTGTGACTGGGAGGAGGCGGAGGGGGGAGCTGCAGAACAAAGAGCCAGAGAGAGCTCACAAAGCCCGAGGCCCCCCGCCACAGCCTGACGCCTCGGGTGGACTGGGGGACTGTTCACCCTTGCGGCTCTGACAGGTGACACAGATGCTACCCCTATGTTAGTCAGAGCTCTGAGATTGAACTGACAGAAATAGACTTGTTGGCTGAAGCAAAAAGAGGTGTTTGTTACATGAAGATGTCTCAGGAATCCCGGGGCAGCAGGTACCGGCCCGGAGGAGGCCTGAGAGTGGACAAGTCTGACCAGGGACGACATTCCCTCTCCATCGGGCCTGTTTGGTCCATGTGGCAGGCCGCGGCCACCCTACTTTGAGTGGGAGCAGCCGCCTGCAGAGTCATCTTGAGGCAAAAGTCTAGGAGAGGAGAGAGAGTTTGCCTGGACTAGGGTGGCCGGAGGCCCGTCATGACCCCATCATCCATGACATCCATGGCAGGTGAGGCACCCAGCCCCGCTAGGGCAGCAGGGACCCCATTTTCACCTGCTCGGGCTGCTCTAACAAAACACCACAGACTGGGTGTCCTAAACAGCASAAGTCTATTCTCCTGCAGTGCTGGAGGCGGGAATCCACCACGGGTGATGGGAATGCAACTTCTGGTGAGGCTTCACTTCCCCGCTGGTCCATGACACAGAAGGAGAATCAGTTCTTGCCACCGAGGCTCAAACATAACAGACCTTGGCCAGCACGGTGGGGTGGCGCCCGCCTGGTAATCCCAGCCACTGGGAGGATGAGGCAGGAAGATCACAAGATCAAGGACAGCCAGGGCAACTTAGTGAGACCCCGTCTCAAAATAAAAACTAAAGGGCCTGGGGACGGGTCTCCATGGTGAAGTACCCCCGGGTTCAATCCCAGGTACGATGACTTGCTCAAGTGACCCAGCGCCATGTGGCAGACCAAGATGGGGCCACAGTCTGGGCTCCTCTCACCGCGCACAGTGTGGCTCCAGCGGTTCCCAGCCCAGGCAGAGACCAGTGGTGAAATGACTCAGCAGGAGGCCSGGCCGTGAGGCCTGAGGGCTGGCGTGTCCTTGCACTTTCAAATCCCCTACTCCAGGTACAGTGGCCACCCTCGGGACCACAGCAGGGCCCGGAACTGACAAGGATTAAAGCCAGTGCCACTGGAGCTCTGGGAGGGGGCGGAGAGCTGACAGGCCCTCTGGGGGTGTCCACGGCCTCGGGAAGTGGCCCAAACCGCAGCTCGTCCAAGGCGAGCCAGGTGTCTTAGACTCAAGAGGAACAGATGTGGGCAAAATGGGACCCGCAAGTTGGGTCTTAGTTCAGCTGGTGACTGCACAGACCCTAAGCATGCCCCCGACGTGTTGTTCCAGAGGTCACCATTTTGGGGACCAAAGCAGAGGCTCTTTCCCCAGCGTCTCCTCGAGCTCCACCAAGGCAAGCTTCTACCTCTGTACCCCAGGGGAACCCGGGTCGAGAGAGCCCATGCCCAGCAGGGGGCGTGAGGGGTACCCCACAGGGCTGTGAAGCCCAGCCATGGGTGCCAAGGGCAGGCTGGGCAGCCCCACTCAGCCCTGCGCAGGGGCCTGACCACGGGCTGGGCCTTCCTTCCACCTGACATGAGAAGCTGGCCGAGGCCACCTCGAGGGCTCTGCCAGCTCACGCTTTCTGTGATCTACTTTAACGACACAGGGTACAGAGCCAGCGTGGCTCTCCTCCTCTCCCTTACACAGCACTTCGGACCCCAGGTACGTGGGGTCTCCTTGCACCAGCAAGCCAGCGATTCTCTAGGGGCAGAGCCGCCAGCAGACACCGGCTGGGCGACCTCGAGTCTGATTCAGTCCCAACACTATCTGCCTGCGAAGGCTTCAGAGCCCACAGTCAAGGGCTCAGTCCCCAAGACTGYCTCCTTCACCTTAAGATGGCAGTCCCAGGGACAGGCCTCTGGCCCCTCACCGCCCCTCAGGTTTCCTCTCAGTTACTCAGAAGCCCCCAACTCAGGCCTTTTCAGCCTCATGGAAATTCTATACACAGACCCGACGGATTCAACCCCTGGCCGCTGGTGATCCTTTAACCTTCAGACGGTCTGCTTTCCCAAGAGGTTGCTCTTGGTGCTTCCTGTGATCAGCCCCATCCTGAACCTACCTAGGGGTGGMCTGCTGCCATCTCATTCGCATGCAAAAGACACTCTGGAGATTTCCAGGGTTTAGCTGCCTGTCAGGAGACAGAGGAAGACCAAGCACAGTGCCCACAGTACAGAGTATTCAGCTCCTGTCTGTCTAGGGTGGGAAATGGTCACTCTATTCCTCATTTAATAAAAACACACCAAAACTTTGTGCCTATAAATATCCACCACGGATATTTTGGTGAAACATCCTTCTAGGTTTCTTACCACTTTACACAAGTCAGGTGATTTTCAGTCTGTTTCCTGACCAGCACATCGGCTCAACACCTCCCTAAAGTGGAGGAGGCRGGTGCTGGGGAGGGAACCCAGGGCTCAGACATTCTAAGCCCAGGTTCTACCACTGAGCAACACCCCGCCCCTTGAGCATAGTTTTAAAAGCAGCATTGCAGGTTAAATTTCCAAACAGCACTCTCACGAGGCAGACCCGTTTGTACCCCAGAGGGCTGTAAACTGGGGGTCCCGCCCCAGGGCCCAGGAACAACAGGATGCAGATACCTCCCGGAAACTGAGCTTGCCGTCGAAGTCCTCGTCCACCTCCTTGATCATGCTCTTCAGGCCCAGGTGGGTCTGGGGGGCCCCCAGCTTCTCCATCATCAGCTTCAGTTCCATCAGGTCGATGAAGCCGTCGCGCCCAGCATCRTACCTGCAGGGTCGCAGCAAGGCACGGTCAGGAAGAAGGGACACTTGTTAGTCTCCCAGACACGTGATCCTTTGGCCTCATTTATGAGTTGGTTTCTTCTTGTGTGTGTGGCTGGGATGGAACCCACRGCCTCTTACCTGCTAGGCAGGTGTCCTCATCCCCAGCCCTCACTTACTGAAAAACGACTCCAGTATCTCCCACTCAGTGTCCAGGTCACTTCCTCAGAAGGGACCTCTTTGAGCAAGACACCTTAGGGCTTAAGAGTGGACTCGGTGGTACACACTAGTGTCACGTCTCTCATCTCCTCCAGGCCACGCGCTTCCCCAGGATGGACACAGGCCTTRTTGACTTGACTTTCCCGGGTCCAGACCATGGACACCATGGGCACCTCACGCTGGGGGAGCGGCACTCGGGTGCCCACGGCACCCTCCACACTCACAGGAGGGAGCCTCCTCCTGGGCACCATCCCCACATCCCTGCACACCCAGTTCCCACAGCCCCCATTCCCTGGGGCTGCCTGTCCTGTGTCTCCAGAAGCTGTTTCCCACTCTGCGTGGCTGTGAATTGGGCCTGGGCCTGGCTTAGATTTCTGGCTTTGCCCTCGGGGTCACTCGCCAGGTCTAAATGATCACGTCTGTGTGATCGACTGTCCTTTCACAGAACCTCTGCTGGCTGTCTCACCAGTCCCCAGCCCCCTCTAGGGACCAGCCTCAAGAGGTGAGGGGGTGGGGAGGCACCTCCAGACAGCTCAGCTCAGCCTCCCCCGCCCCTGCCCAGCCCAGCCCTGTCCCTTCTCCACACACCTGACCTCACGGGGCTCCCCTCCCTTGAGGGCCTTCATATTTTTGATACCAAGAGGCCTCTTGCTGCTCAGGTCTGAATGCCCTGCTTTAAAGAGCCAATCGGGTCTCCACAGCCAAAYGGTGGGAATGACCCACGGAAAGGACACCCTGGCACATGCCACCACAGGGAGGACCCTCAGGGACGTAATGCTGAATGAAGTCAGCCAGCACAAGAGGACACGCACGCTGGGGTCCACTACCGAGGGACCCGGATGGGGGCCGAGCTGGGGGAGGTGGGGGCTCCTGTGTGATGATGGGCAGAGGTTCAGCAAGGGCTGAGGAAGAGCGGACAGTGGACAGTGGGCAGTGWCGCTGGCCTCACAGTGGGAACGCACTTAACACTCCTGAGCTGTGCACTCAAACGGTTAAAACGGAAAATCCGTTCCACACATCTCACCATAATTTTCAAACTAAACTAGTCATAAGCAAACCAGCCTTCCTCACTATCCACCTCTTCATACACCCACCCCCAGGAACACAAACCCGCCACTGTCGAGAACCACCACCGACGCCCACCAAGAAATGCAGCCRTGGGCCTCTGGAAATTGGCCACTGAGGGCTGTGGCATTTCTAGGGCCCACACAGCCAGGCCAGTGGGGGGGGGGGCAGGAGTCCCCACGGTGCTCCATGCCGGCCACTGTGGCTGGTTCAGGCCTCTCCTCCCACCCTCTAGCACGCCCTGCTCTGCTCTGTGGCCTCCTTGCTCCCCAGAGCCCAGGGCCTCCCACTTCTGCCTCTGCTGTCAACAGCACCCACTGTCTGTCCTTGTCTGGCCCCAGCACTCACCACCTCCTCTGCTGGGCATGTTTTATGCAAGTCCTCCCCACCCTCCGGGTGCAGCCTCCTTGTTGGAAGAGTTATTTGATAAGGTGCTAAAGGTCACAGAGGAGATCCCTGAGTGAATGCTGGTGACCTCTGAGCAGCCCTGAAAACAGGCGTTCCACATCTGGAAATGAGCAAGCTACCTCCAGGCTGCCAGGAAGTAGGTAGAATCTACACATCACAAATGGATCGGCCCAGGATCTAGTAGTAGTATCAAAGAATGGACTATTCCCAGCAACTGGGGAGGCTGAGGCAGGAGGATCTCAAGTTCCAGGCCAGCCTCAGCAACTTTGCCAGACCCTGTCTCAAAATAAAAAATAAAAATGGCTATAGATGTAGCTCAGTGGTAAGCTGCCCCTGGGTTTAATTCCCAGTACACACACACACACACACACACACACACACAAAGATGGATTGTGAGTACTTTAAAATGGAAGCAATGAGCCAGGCAAGGTGGCACATGCCTGTAATCCCAGTGGCTTGAGAGGCTGAGGCAGGAGGATCGTCAGTTTAAGGCCAGCCTCAGTAATTTAGTGAGGCCCTAAGCAACTCAGTGAGATCCTGTCTTGAAATAAAATGTATATATATTAAAAAAGGGCTGGGGATGTGGTTCAGCGATTAAGTGCCCCTGGGTTCAATCCATGGTACCAAACAAACAAACAAACGAAACCCCAGCTTGATTGAGACATAATGCACACATTATACTATCTCCTCCTATAAACTGAACAGTTCAGTGGTACTTTTTTTGTATTTCTGGAAATTGAACCTGGCCATGCTCTGTCACTAGCTGCATTCTTGCTGAGACTAGCCTCTAACTTGGGATCCTCCTTCCTCAGCTTCCCAATTTTCTGGGATAATAGGCGTGGCCACTGCACCCAGCCCGTTCAGTGGCTCTTAGTATATTCACAACTCTATGCCACCATCATTACCATCTAATTCCAGAATATTTTCATCACCCTAAAAAACAATCCATAGCCATTAGCACTCATTCCCCCTGCTTCTCTCTCCCTGGTCCTTTAGCAACTACTAGCATTTCTGTCTCTGTGGATTTGACACCTAGAAATTTCTCATAAACGGACTCACACAATATATAGTTTTCCTGTCTGGCTTCTTTCCCTTCACTAACGTTTTCAAGGTTCACTCATTTATCTAGCATGCATTCATCGACTTTATTCCTTTCTGTTGCCAAAAAACGTTCCACTTGCAGACACACGCCACACTTGGYCCATCCGTTCATCAGGTGACGACACTTGGGCCACTTCCACTTTTCGGCTCTACACTTCCACTTTTCGCTGCTTTGAACACTGGTACACACGTGTTGGTGTGGAACTCCCTCTTGGTTTCTTTGGGTAGACATCTCAGTGCAACTGCTGGGCCATGTGGCTCATGCACCTTTGAAAGCTGGTGGTCAAACGGGCCCAACAGAAAACCATGGTCAACTGGAGTTGCTGCTCGGGTGASCAAGGCCCTCTGTCAGGCCCTGGGCGGGAGACCCACAGGGCAGATTCCCCATCGGTCAGGTGGACCCTCTGTGATTGGGCCACCCAGAAAGGTGGCAAAACCCCGTCCCCAAACAAAAATAAAAAGGGCTGGGGATGTGCCCCTAGGTTCACTCCCTAGTACCATAAAAAGAAAGGAAGGAAGGAGGGAAGGAGGGAAAAAGAAAAAGAAAAAGTTCAGGGACCGGACGATGGTGAATGTACTTAATGTCACTAAACTGCATATTTAAAAATGGTCACTTTGGGGGCTGGGGCTGTCCTGTAGCTCAGGGATTAAGCATTTGCCTAGCATGCACAAGGCCTTGGGGTTCCATGCACCAGAAAAAAAAATTTTAAAGAAGTACATTTTACTTTACACACACACACACACACACACACACACACACACACACCTTACCACAATTAAAAATTTTTTTCATTTAAAAAAGATCAAGGGGGCTGGGATTGTGGCTCAGATGTAGCGCGCCCGCCTAGCATGCGTAAGGCACTGGGTYCGATCCTCAGCACCACATAAATGTAAAAATAAAGACATTGTGTCCACCAATAACTAAAAAAATAAACTTAAAAATCATGTGGCAATAAATGAAGGAGCTTATTTAAAAAAAAAAAAAAAAAAAAAAAAAAGATCAAGGTCCCGAAACTAAGACCCCAAGCCAACTTCAGAAGCACAGAGCTTGAGGAAAGAGCTCAGTGGCATGTGTGACCACACCCCTGGAGGCCGGGATACCACAGTGAGTCCTGGAGGCCACGTACTCATTATGGTAAGAAGGAAAAGTCCCAAACAAACAAACAAAGAATGATAGATCTAACAGAATATTCCAGATGCACTAGAAAGATGATTCCTGTGGAAATGGCCAAGTCCACCTGAACATTAAATTCACCTACTCCCACCCACCCCTTGACGCCCTGCTCCACCCCATGCAGACCCCACACTCCAGGGAAGCTGGGGCTGGTCAGTGGAGGCTCCCAAGAAGGTRGGAAGGCCTAAGACCCCGTGCAAGGACAGAGGGAGAAGGGACCAGGGGTCTTCAGCTCCAGGAAGAAAAAGAGGTATCTCTGGACGTTGCCCAGGGGCCCAGAGGCAGCCAGAACGGAGCGTGGAAATGAGACCCATTTCCACAAGGTGCAAAGAGGATCTTTTCTTTAAAACAGTTGACCAGATCTGGACCCGGAAAGTCAGGAGAGCTCTCACAGACAGGCTGAGATGGACAGTCTCCATTACAAGGAGTCCGACTCAAAGAAAACAGGTTTCCATGGTGTGGAACTTTCCAGAGCCTTCCATGTGGTCATGTGTTCAAAATTCACCAGAGGGAAACAGCACAGGCTCATCTGACCACAGATCCTCCGCCTGTAGTGATTTTCCACTGCAGAGGGGGCAGTCGACCTCAGAAGGGGCAGCTCCAGGTGGCACAGTGCTTGCCCAGGGTGCACGAGACCCCAGGCTCCATCCCCAGCATCACAAAAAATAAAAGAAGGGGTGGCCCAGTTAAATGACCACTAAGTTCCCTGAACGCAGAGATTCTGAGTGAAAGTCTTCTGCCCTGTGCTCAGCACAAAGCCTGMGTTCCAACAAAGCTCGCAGAGGAGACCGGAGCCTTGCGGGCGGCACCRTTAAGACGTGAGTCTGTCCAGGCCCGGGCAGGAAGCAGTGTCAGCAGACACTGGACAGCAGAGAAGGAAGGAGCAGAGGGGAATCTGTGAGGGAGCAGCTGGAAGGCTTAGGTGGCAGGAAAGAGGCGTACTGGGAGGGTGGGGACGGGAAGTAAAGGTCAGGGAACAAGGCAGGGGTTTGTCCTCAGATGAGAGAGCACTGAGTGGCTCCCAGCTCACTGACCTAGAG